GTTTTGAGGGATTTGGCGACACAAGTTATTTTCAAGATTTGAGTTTTATTTGTTTTTCAAAGCAAAGTTTACGTCATAACAATGTAAAATATCATCACACAAAAGCAGTAACTATAAAAAGCACGGTGACAAAACTGGTTCGTGTTCAAAAAATAATGATGTGTTCTTTTGCATCTATCTGCCCTCTGTTTTTTTATCACACCAGCGCCTTTCTACCTTATGAGTCCAAGTTCATTTAATCTGTTAATTGTCCATCAAACTTGGGTGACCAGAGGCTTTTTAAGGTAGAACTTTGTCCCTTGCTGATCACCTGCTACCTGTCCTGGACAAAGTCCAACCAAAAGAGTCCCGTTGAGTGGGGGGCAAATCGCCCTGTTCTGCTCAGACAGGGGCTCACAGTCCCTCATGTATTCAGGACCTTCATCCATTTCATTGTCCTCTTCGTCGTCCCCTTCGCCGTCCTCCCCGTCCTGATCCCAGAGTGACGTGGAGACATGCGTGTACACCCTGGTGTCCTCACATTCCATCTCTCGATGGTAGAAGTAYCTGAAGTTGGACACGATGACGGGAACCGGCAGAGAGATGGTGAGGACACCGGCGATGGCGCACATGGAGCCCACCAGCTTTCCCCCGACGGTGGACGGACACATGTCCCCGTAGCCCACCGTGGTCATGGTCACCACTGCCCACCAGAACGCCTCGGGTATGCTGGTGAACGCCGTGCCGAGGCTGTCGACCTCGGCAAAGTAAACGGCGCTCGAAAAGATTATGACCCCAATGAAGAGGAAGAAGATCAGCAGGGCGAGCTCTCGTAAGCTGGCCTTCAGGGTCTGACCCAGGATCTGGAGGCCTTTGGAGTGACGCGAGAGCTTAAAAATCCTGAAGACCCTCACCAGCCTGATGACCCTGATGAGGGCCAGGGACACGGAGGGCGGGGTGCCTTTGTCCTTGGCGAGCTCTGTGCCCAGTGTGACGAAAAACGGCAGGATGGCCAAGAAGTCGATAATGTTCATGATGTCTTTGAAGAAGTGGATCTTGCTGGGAGCGCTGATGAAGCGCATGACCAGTTCAAAGGAGAACCAGCAGATGCAGACCGTCTCTACGATGAAGAAGGGGTCCTGGAAGGGTCCGAACGCTGGTGGAATCAGGACGGTTTCGTTTGGGATGGTGGGATGAGGTGTGGTGGTGTATTGCTGTGAGACAGATAAATGTGAAGGTGGTTAAAATCACAAATAGCATTTACTGTGCAAATGCTGAGTCAGCATTCAAATTACTTCCACATACCGTGTGCTATTTTAGCTATTGATAAATCAAAAGTGGCTGGATGGAGAACACAGTGCTGTGACCTTTAGTAGCTGTAACATTTGTACTTTTTGAATTGTTTAACTAAAACAAAGTGAGAAGATTGTTGTTTCAGCTTACTTGCTCTATTCTTGTCTAATGCTCCTTTTAGCTGTCTTGCTAATTTTAGCTTTTGACTAAGGTTGAGCTACTTTGGACTTTTAGATACCGTTGGGCTACTTTTAGCTTTTATTTTGGTTGTGCTAGTTTTAAGAATGGTTTTGCTATTTTTAGCTTCTTTTCACAATAGTTTTACTAATTTTAGACTTTAGCTACTGTTTTGCTGAATTTAACTTGTAGCTATTGTCGTGCTAACTTTAACTTTTGACTACAGTTGGGCTACTTTGAACTTTTAGATACAGTTGGGCTACTTT